ATTCTCTCTAGCTCTCTTATTTAACTTTATCATTCATCTGTTGGATATATTGTTTTGCCTCTTCAGTTTTTAAGTTCCAAGATCTATTTTGTTCTTTGATAATGTCTTACTCTTCTATCTCAGAAGACTTACATTTTTTTTAAGTTTTCTTTTGGTCCATACATTACTTCTGTTTTCTATTGATTTGTTTTGGTCCCTAATTCACACTCTTAGAGATGCCTTTGTTAAATCATCAGTGGTCCTTACCTGGTTGATCACTCTGAGTGCTTAGTAGAAAGAAGTTGATTAGACTGGGTGTGCCTGAGTTGTGCTAGTTGACTACCAAGATTCATTGATCTACCCCTCCTTCCCCCCAGTGCTAGGGACTGAACCCAGGGCTTTGTGCATGAAAGGCAAGCACTCTACCAACTGAGGTATATATCCCTACCTCTGACTGGTTGATTTTTAAGTCTTCTCTCTGGTGGTGTTTAGTTTTGCTATGCTTGGTTTTGTTATAGGTATCTTTTTGTTATGTTTAATATGCTTTATAGATCTATCCATGAATTCCTGTTCTAATTTCTGCAGAATTCTCAGCCAGTATCTCATTCAACATTATCTTTCTCTGTGCTGTAAGAATTCTTACTCTTAAAGTGGGGAGGGTTAATCAGTGGTATTACAGTACAGTCAAATGTAAACTGTATCTAGTGATTACGTTCTGTGTATTTCAAAAACCCAGGAAAGTTTTTTTTGTTGTTGTTGTTTTTTTAAGTACTAGGAATAAACCCCAGGAGAACTCTATCCCCAAACTGTATCCCAGCCCTTTATGTTTTTTGTTTTGAAAGAAGATCTGGCTAAATTGCCAAAGCTAACCTTGAACTTGTGATCTTTCTCCTGGGTTGCTGGGATTATAGGTATGTGCCACACATTAGCCTAGAAAAAAAGGATTTTGGATGTTTTTGCCTTAAAAAAATGATCAATGTTCGAGGAGGTATGTTTAATCTGATAGCAGTGTGTACATGTATTGAAATACCATATAGTAACTGATTAATATGTACAATTTTGGTTATACATGTATTGATTAAAACAAATTAAAAATTTTTAAGAGCATAAGGAATTCTTATTAGACATTTATTAGATATTTATATTATAACCATTTATCCTTCATTTCTCTATTTAGCTATGCCTAATCTATTGAATTTTTTAAATTACTTTGCTCATTTTTCAATTATTTTTATTTCTTAAACAGAATTGTATGATTATTTTTATCCCATTTCTGGCAGTTTCAGTGCCTGAAGTATTTGTTATTCTTAATCTATTTTTGCTGATGCTTCCTCATGGTGGATTATTGTGTTTATATTTGTGCATTCATATATGGTGGGAATGCTGAAAGGTCTGAACTGTAGGTCACTATTACCTGATATGATTTAGGATTCTTCTGCTTGATGTCAAAGCACAGTAATAGCCTATACCCACTTTAATTTCTTCCCCTGAGGATTTCTTCACCATAGTGGGGAGGGTAAATTATAACTTTGGACTTACTCATGAGGGCAGACCTGTGATTACAAAATCCCAGAGAAGCTTTCCATCAAGAGCATGCACAGAAAAGACTCTTTTGTAAGTCCTCTTTCCATGTAGTCTTGTTTTTTTCCCACCTACTCTTTCACTGAAGTTGTAACCTCCCTCAGGGGTTTTAGACATTTAAGTTCCTCCATAGTAAATAATGATAAGTTTTGCACAGGGAAACCCAATTATAGTTTATATGTCTATCTTAATGTAAGAAAAACATTTAGAGAACAGCACTCCCTAAATAGAAAACAGCTTCCCAAAGAGTTTGGTATGGATTGTGAGTATTTCAAGATGCTCATCCCTGGGTTAGAGGATGTAGCTCGGTGGTAGAGCACTTGCCCAGCCTGCACAAGGCCTAGGGCTCAATCCCCGGTAATGCAAAACAAGAAGATACTCATCCCTATAATACTTAGGGCAGCCAAAAGTTTCAGTCTGGGTACATCCCCATGCATTATATAGATGATCTTCTCCATGTGTGCTGAAAAGGTCAGAGAACTAGAATATTAGTCCTTCAAGATAATTTGGAAAAGACTACATACTACCTATCCCTCTTAGATAATCATAATGTTCACAAGCATTCAAGACTCCAGAAGACTTTGAAGTAAGGAAAATTTTCTAAATGTATTTGACTATAGTATTTTGGAGAGGGAGATGTACAGGATTGAGCCTGGGAACACTTAACCACTGAGCCACATCCCAAACGTTTTATTTTTTATTTTGAGACATGGTCTTGCTATTGCTTAAGGCCTCGACTAAGTTGCTGGCGCTGGCTATAAACTCAGTAAGTATCCTCCTGCCTCGGCCTCCCAAGCTGCTGGGGTTAAAGGCATGCAACATCACACCTCACCTTCAACTGTGGTACTTTTAAAAAATGATAACAGCCTATAATTATTGAAATTTAAAATGTTTGTAATCATTGATCTCCTAAAATTTCAACTCCAGTTAGAAGATATTCTGGATTGACATTGCAATAAACATGCAGTAGCTGCTGATTTGGCTGTATAGTAGACAAGCTTCTATGAAAACTAGTGTGTTTAAAAGGCCACTTGCCAGTGTAAAAGGTCTCCTCCTCATGAATTTATTAGAAGAGTCTAACACATGTATATGAAGTGTGCACACCAAACACTGTAGCAAATAGTTCATAATGTCTTCCCATTGCCCAGAGAGAAATATTCCTTACCTAAACTGGCCTACAATGATCACATGACCTGGGCAGTACATCCCACCTTTGATCTCATCTCCTACACTGTTCATTAGGCATTAGCCATATTGGTCTTTGGTGTGTGTGTGTGTGTGTGTGTAGTTTTGAATGAACATGCCTTTATTTTTGAGTGGTGCTGAGAACCAAACCCCGGTGCCTTGGACGTGCAAGGCAAGTGCTCTGCCACAGAACCCAAGCCCCAGCCTCAACTGATATTAGCCTTTTTAGTGTGCCAGACTGAAAGATCGTTTATTTGCCTAGTATATGGAGCAGCATATATTCAAAAGGTTGCTGTTTTGTTTTGTTGTTCTTGGAGTCTGACTTCACTGAGACTGTTTGTTGCCACTGAATCTCAGCTGACAGTCCCTATGACCCCGCCTTCTTGCTTGTGTAGTGTATCCCGCAAATACTACAACCTTTGTAAGAACCCTGGATCTTCTCTGTACACTTCTCTTAACCTTCAGTTACTGTGTGACACACGTTTGATAAATAGTTGTTGAATCTTTAGTGAATATGAGAAAAAACTCATAACTTGCTCAAGTTCTCACGCAATAAATAGCAGGTGTGTCAGAATTCTGTGTTCTTTGTACCACACTACATCTAAATGAGGATTTTCCCATCCTTTACAGCCTGATTTATTCTTTTAAACTCTGATGGTAGCAAAACTGATTTTTTCGACAATGCATTTAATTGATAAAAATACCTACAAGTTGTTCAGAACCAAATCTCCTGAATAACATGGATGATCATGCTAAGAAAAATTAGGAAAAGAGTAATTTTAAAGATTTTTCTGTTTAAAATTCAGTGTAAAAGAAGAGTACTATGGGTTGGTGGTTGTGGAACATTATGGGGACGTGTAAAGAGCTTTCCCAGAGGGAGTTCTTAAATGTCACTGTTCTTTGGGGATATAATATTTCCACTGTGTTTGTACTTTCATAGTTAACACCTAATATGAATGAATCAGCTTCCCATCTCAATACATGTGAACAATAGATTTTAGCTTTGTTATTGGCCATGGAATACCAGAAGGAAGTTAGACTACCCAGAAAAGAAATTGTAAAGAAAGTTTAAGATGAGATACACACACACAAACAATCATTAACTGAAGCAAAAGAATAAGATTAGATGCCAATTCCTAAAGATTCATCAGTTAGTAGTTTTCCCTCTCTGCATCCTTTTTTTCCTCTTCATTGTTTTCTATTTTATTTTGACTTTCTTCTTACCGGACTAGAAGTTGTGGAATTTGTATCAGGGTGTTGGAATAGCAGTATTTGGGTTTTTCTTTTTCATGGCTTGAGTGAGGGAACATCTTTTGGAAAAGATATGGCTGCGTTCATTGAAGATGATAAAGTGTCTTTGTGCTATTTGAAGAAAAAATAATGTTTAGTTTGAGATCATTGGGTTGGGCTTTTGCTATTGTTTTATGTTTTAAAAAATGAAATAAGAGTTTTATATAGGTAGAAATGTTATCTTCAATAATTTTTGAAATAATTAATACCTTAAAATTATCTCTGAAATTTTAAATTCTTCATTAGTCCTTTTATAATTATTAGCAGTGATTTTTTTTAAAATATCTATTTTCTGGATGCTCTAAATTGGTAAAGAAATTTACAATTTTAGAGATGAAAGGCAAATTAAGAAATCTATTTATGTGGTTCACTACAGTTTTTTTTTTTTAAGAAATCATTTTGAACAACCAACAATAAAAAATTAAAATCATCCAATCTTTATATAGAAAAGTAACATGCCTAGTTTAAGATAAAACTTGAGTTACATGATAGTCTTCTGATTCACATTCACTGTTCATCATTGTAATTATTAATATTATTAGTAATGTGATAATGATAGATTTATGTCTCATAAGTGGAGGACTCCTTTTTGACACAAATATTAAGCTTTTCATTATAAAATAAAATTATCGGGGCTGGGAATGTGGCTCAGGCGGTAGCGCGCTTGTCTGGCATGCGTGCGGCCCGGGTTCGATCCTCAGCACCACATACCAACAAAGATGTTGTGTCCGCCGAGAACTAAAAAATAAATATTAAAAATTCTCTCTCTCTCTCTCTCTCTCTCTCTCTCTCTCTCTCTCTCCCCCCTCTCTCACACTCTCTTTTTAAAAATAAATAAATAAATAAAATTATCGTTTTTCAGTGCCAGATTTCATCAAATACCATTTACCAAAATGGGTGCTGAGGTCTTTCAGGGGATATATTTGAGTACTCTATCATGTGTTACTGGTTTCTTGTACTTTAAGACAGAACATTCTTCACAATCCAAAAGGAAAAGAAGAGACTCATTCGGGATGTTTGACGGTTATGATAGCTGCAGTGAGGACACAAGTAGCAGCTCCAGCTCAGAGGAGAGTGAAGAAGAAGTTGCTCCTTTACCTTCCAATCTTCCAATTATCAAAAACAATGGACAAGTGTACACATACCCAGATGGTAAATCTGGCATGGGTGAGTATTTATAGCTTTCACCTGCTGTACAACTTTGTGTTCAAGGGTGTGTTTTCATGTGATTTTTTCCCATCATTTCCCTTCCTTAGAATTTTGAAGCACTATATGAAGAGGCAGAACCTGAATCATAGTTTCAGATAGGACACTGAGTATATGTTCAAGCTCTGTTTTTGCCTACCTCCTCCTAGTGGGAAGCAAGTAGAACAAAATAAAAAGCAAAAGGTTATTGAGAAACTTAATGTGGACATAAATTCAGTAGATAATAAATCATTACATAACTGAAAATATGAAGGATCGGAGAGGTACAGATTTGAAAGAGATGTTCATGGTAGAGCTTTTTTCTCATAATTCCTCCTAAGTCTTCTGTTTTGACATTTCCAATTATAAGGTACTCTCTGACTCAGAAAGCAATTTCATTCTCTTAATAGCTCTAATTACTAGAATAGTCTTCATATTGTACTAAAAATATTCTGCTCTAACTTTTGTCTTTTGGTTTTAAAGTTGCTTATAAAGCTACATAAAAGGCAAGCATGGTGGTACATGCCTATAATCCCAGATACTCAGAGGCTGAGGCAGAGGGTTCACAAATTCAAGGCCATCTTGGGCACCATAGAAAGTTGCTAAGCAATTTGGTGTGACCCTTTCGCAAAGTAACAAGAGCCAAGGATGTAACTCAGTGGTAAAGTGTCCTGGGTTCAATCCCCAGTACCAAAAAATAAATAAATTACACAAGGGACTGGGTATATAGTAGGAGCATGTACAAGGCCCTGGGTTTAATCAACAGTGCCACCAAAATAAATAAGTAAATGAGTAAATAGTAGTGTGCTCAGGATTGGTATTATTAAGATGGTGAAATTTAAAAAAAAAAAAAAAGTACACAGATTAATTCTAATCTAGGTGCTGGGGATGTGGCTCAAGCGGTAGTGCGCTCGCCTGGCATGCGTGCGGCCCGGATTCGATCCTCAACACCACATACAAAGATGTTGTGTCCACCGAAAACTAAAAAATAAATATTAAAAAAAAAAAAAGAATAATTCTAATCTAGATTGTCTCTGGACACATCAAGTAGCCACAGTTGTTTCAGCCATTTCTCATAGCATCATAGTGATTTAATTCAATATATGGGTCACTTTCCTCTGGGAATTTTCAGATTGTGTGGCAAAAGGGTGGTTACTCCTCCTGATTTGCCTGGAACTGTCTTGTTTTTAACTATTGAAAGTCTCCCATCCTGGAAAACACCTCAAGCAAATGTTTGGTCCCCCTTTGTGATTAGAGCAGAAGATAATTCAGCCTTTACTGCCTTTTTTTTTTTTTTAATATGATCACAATATCTTTATTTTTATATGGTGCTGAGGATTGAACCACTTCCTCACATGTGTGAGGCAAGTGCTCTGACTCTGTACTATAACCCCATCCTGCCTTTTACTGCCATTTTCAGCACGCTATTTCCATGTAAACAACCAACATTGTTTTGCCTTTTATGAATATAATACTGAATTACAAATAACTCTCTTTGAAATATTTTTCTTAATAACTTTTAAGTCTTAGCAGAATTAAATTGCTATCTAATGTTGAATACTGTGTTATCCAATCTTCCAGATTTGATAACTCTATCCTGTTAATCCTGTTCTGGCCTTTTGATTAAAAAGTTGTACATCTCAGGGTCTGATACAGGGTCTTGCCAAACCATAACAAAAAATTCCTATCTTTTATCAAGACCCACTAGATGTGGTCATCCTACCAGTTGAAACCTACCTAGGGAGAGCTGAGATTGTAGCTTAGCAGTAGAGCACTTACCTAGCATAGGCAAGGCTCAGGCTTAAATCCCCAGCACCACATTTAAAAAAAAAAAAAAGGCAAGCCTAGGTGTTTTCTACTCCAACTGCTATTTCTCAATCATGGTTGACAGAGCTGTGTGAGAGATTTTATCAAATATATTAATGCCTATTGATACCTAGTCTTTCCATGCTTTGGTTATAGCATGCCAGTCTGGTAACCGTATTGCAGAAGAAAAGGTTATTATTAATACTTCATATATACTACCATCTGCTTTAATTACTGGAGGCAGAAATGAACAGCACAGAATAAGATTCCTGTCCTGATGAAGCTTGGGTTCTAGTCAAGGGAGTTCTAGTTTGACACATATCATTCTTGGCAAGGATTCGTTGTCCCTGGGGGATCATAACTTTTTTTTTTTAATCTAGGTGGTCATGAGCCTTTATAACAATCTATTCTAAAATTTTTATGATTAGAAATCATTTATATTTTTTTTTATTGGTTGTTCAAAACATTACAAAGCTTTTGACATATCATGTTTCATACATTAGATTCAAGTTGGTTATGAACTCCCATTTTTACCTCAAATACAGATTGCAGAATCACATCTGTTACATATCCACATTTTTACA